AAAAAAAAAAAAAAAAAAAAAAAAAAAAAAAAAGTGGCCTATCTATACATTCAAATATTATTCAGCCTTTAAAAAAAAGCTAATTCTGAAATTCTTATACATGCTACAACAGGGATGAACCTTGAAGACATGCTAAGTGAAGTACGCCAGTCACAAAAGGACAAATGTAGAATTCCATTCATGTGACACACCTAGAGCAGTCAAGTTCATAGACGGTGGAATGGTGGCTGGGGGAGAGGACAATGGGGACTGTTGTATAATAAGTATGCAGTTTCAGTTTAAGAAGATGAAAAAGTTCTGGAGGTAAACAGTGATAATGACTGCACAGCACTGTGAATGTACGTAATACCACAGAATGGTACATTTAAAAATGATAGGCCGGGCGCGGTGGCTCAAGCCTGTAATCCCAGCACTGTGGGAGGCCGAGGCGGGTAGATCACGAGGTCAAGAGATCGAGACCATCCTGGTCAACATGGTGAAACCCCGTCTCTACTAAAAATACAAAAAATTAGCTGGGCATGGTGGCGCATGCCTGTAATCCCAGCTACTCAGGAGGCTGAGGCAGGAGAATTGCCTGAACCCGGGAGGCGGAGGTTGCGGTGAGCCGAGATCGTGCCATTGCACTCCAGCCTGGTTAACAAGAGCGAAAACCTTTTTCCAAAAAAAAAAAAAAAAAAAAAGATTAAAATGGTAAATTTTATGTTATATATACACTTTACCAAAGTTTTCAAAAAAGAGTAAAAAGTAAAAAGCTGGTAAATTAGAAAGCAGAACTGACATAAAATCTGTTGGCAAATGAAACTAATAAATCACTGAAGGCTGAATCATTCCTTGGTATCCATGAGTGATACCAAGGATCCCCCTCAGATAACAAAATCCATATATGCTCAAGTCCTTTATATAAAATGGCTGGACACAGTGGCTCACACCTGTAATCCCAGCACTTTGGGAGGTTGAGGTGGGTAGACCACCTAAAGTCAGAAGTTCAAGACCAGCCTGGCCAACATGGTAAAACCTCATCTCTACTAAAAATACAAAAATTAGCTGGGTGTGATGGCACACACCTGTAAGCCCAGCTACTTGGGAAGCTAAGGCAGGGGAATCACTTGGACCCAGGAGGTGGAGCTGCAGCAAACCGAGATCACACCACTGCACTCCAGCATGGGTGACAAGAGCGAAATTCTGTTGGGGGAAGGCATAGTATTTATATATAACCTACACACATCCTTCTCTACACTTAAATTGCCTCTACATTACTTGTAATACCTAATATAATGTAAATGCCACATAAATATAGTTGAATAATCCTTACCTGAAATGCTTGAGACCAGAAGTGTTTTTGGATTTGGGGTTTTTCAGATTTTGGGATATTTGTATCACATATTTACTGGTTCAACATCCCTAAGTTGAAAATCAGAAATGCTCAAATAAGTATGTCCTTTGAGCATCATGGCACTCAAAAAGTTTCAGAATTTAGAGCATTTCAGATTTCTGGATTAGGGATGCTCAACCTGTTGTTGTCAGGCCATATTTTAAAGAACATGTGTTGTTTTATCATTGTATTGTTATTATTTTCTTTTCCAAATATTCTGATCCAAGGTTGAATCAGAATTAGTTAGATGAATCCAATGATGCGGGCCCCACAGATACAGAGGGCTGACTGTATTAATAAAATTTAAACAGGAGGACTCTCAACTCAGAATGTGAAGTTGTAACTGCTATGACAACTGTCCTCTCACTATAAACAGCTAGAAAACCAGACAACATACATGAAATAACAGTTTTTAGACACTGGGCAAGAAGTAGCACAAGGCTGTGATCCTCCGCCAAGGAAAGGAAACAAAAGGTAAACTTTACCAAACTTACAGCCTGGTGACAACTCCCAGCCTTCACTTCAAGGAAAGAACACTGAAACAAAATACAAGGGTCTCAGTGAACTGAGGAGCTAATAGAGCTAGGGGAAGCTGAGGCAGCTAGAATTTGCAGGACACAGTACTAGAGAAGCTGGAGCTGCGTGCAGAGAGCTCTGGAGGTCTGGCAGAAGGGTTCCCTTTCCTCTCAGATTTGCAAGTGCTTGAGAGAAAGTCTCCCCAAGGTCAAGGAACAATCTATGGGAAAGCAATAAGCCCAACACTTCCCAGAGCTCCCATACCGCTTGTTACGCTGACCATGAAAAAACCACAGGGTCCCTAGAAGGATCAACACCTTGCGGGGTGGGGGTGAGGGGGCTAAATTAGTCCAAAGATAAAGATTGCTATGACTAGCCACAAAAACCTTATAAGTAAGCTTCGCAAGGATCGAACTGATCCAAACATTACTTAACTGTGTGACCAAATACTATCTGACAGTCTTTAGAGGAATATAGCAAATCCAGTGTCCAGCAATATAAAATATAAAATTCACAATGTCCAAGCATACAAGGAAGTGAAAAAGATGACCCATGTCAGGATGAAAACTAATTGAAATAAATCTGTAAATGATAGAAATAATGAAATTAGAATACAAGGATGTTAAAACAAACAATATGTAGTTCATATGAATGTGATGTGGAAAGGAAATAGTTTTTCTGACCAAAATGGAAATTGTAAAGATTTTTAAAGTACAGTATCTCAAATTAAAAACACATTGGCTGAGAATAACAGCAGATGAGACCTTGCAGAAGGTAAGATGGCTTAACTTGAAGATGCAGCAATAAAAAGTACCCACAGTGGGCCGGGCACAGTGGCTCATGCCTGTAATCCCAGCACTTTGGGAGGCCGCAGTGGATAGATGATGAGGTCAAGAGATCGAGACCATCCTGGTCAACATGATGATACCCTGTCTCTACCAAAAATACAAAAATTAGCTTTGCATGGTGGTGCACATCTGTAGTCCCAGCTACCTGGGAGGCTGAGATAGGAGAATCACTTGAACCCAGGAGGTGTGGGTTGCAGTGAGCTGAGATCGGACCACTGCACTCCAGCCTGGCGACAGAGCTAGACTCTGTCTCCAAAAGAAAAATAAAAAGTACCCACAATGAAAAGACTGAAAAAATATTAACACAGCTTCACTTGACTGACCACAGTGGCTCACGTCTGTAATCTCAACACTTTGGGAGGCCAAGGTGGGGGATCACAAGTTCAAGAAATCGAGACCATCTTGGCCAACACGATGAAACCCCGTCTCTATTAAAAATATAAAAATTAGTCGGGTGTGGTGGCACACACCTGTAGTCCCAGCTACTCAGCACGCTGAGGCAGGAGAATCTCTTGAACCCAGGAGGTGTAGGTTGCAGTGAGCCAAGATCGCACCACTGCACTCCAGCCTGGTGACAGAGTGAGACTTCGTGTCAAAACAAACAATTTATAAAAATAAAATAAAAACAATAACATATCAGAGCCTCAGTAACCTGTGGGACACGATCCAGTGGTCTAACACAGCTGAACAAGAATACAGGAAGGGCAAAAGGGAAAGCGGAAAAAAAATTTGAAGAAATAATGGCTGCAAATTTTATACATATGATGAAAACTATAAATTCACAGATCCAAGAAACTCAAAAAGCCCCAAACAAAAGAAACATAAATAAAACCACATCAGCTGGGTGCAGTGGCTCATGCCTGTAATCCTAGCACTTTGGGAGGTGGAGGCAGGCAGATCACAAGGTCAAGAGATCAAGACCATTCTGGCCAACATGGTGAAACCCCAACTCTATTAAAAATACAGAAATTAAGGCCGGGCGCGGTGGCTCAAGCCTGTAATCCCAGCACTGTGGGAGGCCGAGGCGGGTGGATCACGAGGTCAAGAGATCGAGACCATCCTGGTCAACATGGTGAAACCCCGTCTCTACTAAAAATACAAAACATTAGCTGGGCATGGTGGCGCGTGCCTGTAATCCCAGCGACTCAGGAGGCTGGGGCAGGAGAACTGCCTGAACCCGGGAGGCGGAGGTTGCAGTGAGCCGAGATCGCGCCATTGCACTCCAGCCTGGGTAACAAGAGCAAAACTCCGTCTCAAAAAAAAAAAAAAAAATACAGAAATTAGATGGGCGTGGTGGCACCCGCCTGTAGTCCCAGCTATTCGGGAGGCTGGGGCAGGAGAACTGCTTGAACCCAGGAGGTGGAGGTTGCAGTGGGCCAAGATCACAGCACTGCACTCCAGCTTGGGCAACAGAGTGAGATTCTGTCACAAAACAAACAAACAAACAAAAAACACATCAAGGCACATTATAACCAAAGTGCTAAAAATCAGTGGTAAAACAAAAAACCTCATGCATCCAGAAGGAAAAGGCCACACTATTCACAGAGAAACAAAAATAAAGATGAAATCAGAAATCATGCAGCAAGAAGAAAATAGAAGATCTTTACTGAGGAAAAAAAAAAAAAGTCAATATAAACTTCTATACCCAGTGATATATAGTTTTCAAATATGGAGACAAAATACTTTAAACCAATAAAAGCTGAGATAATTATCAGCAGAACCCTACTACAACTAATGTTAAAGAAATTTCTTCACACAAAAGAAAAATACCAGATGGAAAGTGGATCTATAAAAAGAAATGAAGAGTGAAAGAAATGATAAATAAGTGAGTAAATGTAAAAGACATGTTTCAAACAAAAATAATGTGTTGTGTAACATAACATCAAAAGAATTAAAATGCCTACTAGCAGCAAAACGACAGCAGTGTGGTAGACTGTATTTTCCAAAGACTGTGTCCTATCCCAGCCCACATGCCCTGCTTATGGATATAACATTGAAAGCAGAGCATATGAGTTGGGATATCAGACGGAGTAAGGAAGGGAGGGAAAGCGTGCGTGCGTGCGTGCCTGCGTGCGTGCGTGCGTGCGTGTGTGTGTGTGTGTGTGTGTTGGTGGGATAGGAGATGGTTATGCACATACTCTCTGAATTAAGGCAAACCTCTGTAACTGCCTCCACCTAAAAAATACAGCAGAAGTGACACTAGTCAAGGCAAGGTCACAAAAGCCAATATGCTTCTATCTGGCTCTCTTCTCTTGGGACACTTGCCTTTAGAATTCAACTACCAGACTGTAAGAAATTTAAGCCAGCCGGGTGCAGTGGCTCTTGCCTGTAATCCCAGCACTTTGGGAGGCCGAGGCAGGAGGATCATGAGGTCAAGAGATCGAGACCATCCTGGCCAACATGGTGAACCCTGTCTCTACTAAAAATAGAAAAATTAGCTGGGCATGGTAGCGTACGCCTACAGTCCCAGCTACTAAGGAGGCTGAGGCAGGCGTATTGCTTGAATCCAGGAGGCAGGGGTTGTGGTGAGCCAAGATTGTGCCACTCCACTCCAGCCTGGCAACAGAGCAAGACTGTTTAAAAAAAAAAAAAAAAATTAGGCCACAAGAAAAGGTCATGTGCACAGACTCCAGCCAACAGACAAAGCTAAGGTCTCAGCCAGCATCAACTGCTTAACATGCAAGTGGGTAAACCTTCAGATAATCCCAGCCCCTAGTCTTGAGCTGCCTCAGCAGAGGACACAGACATCATAAAGCAGAGACAGACCATCTCCGCTGTGTCCTATCCAAATACCTAACCCACAGAATAAGTTGGCAATAGTGTTGTTTTAAGGCACTAATTTACTGGTGGGCTTTTATGCCATGAAAATAACTAGAACAGGCCGGGCGCAGTAGCTATATAATCCTAGCACTTTGGGAGGCCGAGACGAGTGAATTGCCTGAGCTCAGGAGTTTGAGACCAGCCTGGGCAACACAGTGAAATCCCATCTCTACTAAAATACAAAAAATTAGCCAGCCATGGCAGCGTGTGCCTGTAATCCCGGCTACTTGGGAGGCTGAGACAGGAGAATGGCTTGAACCTTGGAGGCAGAGGTTGCAGTGATCCGAGATTGTGTCACTGTACTCTAGCCTGGGTGACAGAGTGAAACTCCATCCAAAAAAAAAAAAAAAAGTAACTAAAACAGAAAAATAAAATAAAATAGAAAAATTTTAAATTATGCTTAAGTTACAGGTGAAATGGTGTAACATTATTTCAACAGATGGTGATAACGATGTATACTATACAACCTATATCAACCACTAAAAATATAAAACAAGGATGTGAAGCTAGTAAATCAAGAATAGACCAGTCTAGTCAACATGGTGAAACCCTGCCTCTACTAAAAATGCAAAACATTAACCCAGCATGGTGGCAGCCCCTGTAATCCCAACTACTAGGGAGGCTGAGGTGGAGAACTGTTTAAACCTGGGAGGTGGAGGCTGCAGTGAGTCCAGACTGTGCCACCGCCCTCTCGCCTGGGTGATAGAGTGAGACTCCATCTCAAAAAAAAAAAAGAGGCCAGGCGTAGTGGCTCACACCTGTAATCCAAGCACTTTGGAGACCAAGGCAGGTGGATCACCTGAGGTCGGGAGTTCAAGACTAGCCTGACCAACATGGTGAAATCCCATCTTAAAAAAAAAAAAAAAAAAGAACAGAGATAAAATGGAATCATGAAAATACTCAATGTTTTAAAAAGGCAGGAAAACATGGAAAAGGAAGGAAAAAAAGATGAAAAAAATTCCAAGGAAAAAATTTTTAACACAAGCATATCAATAATTACATCAAAGGTAAATTACAATATAACCTACTCTAAAAGGCAAAGATTGTCAAACTAGACAAAAAAGCAAGATCCAGCCACATGCTATGTATAAGAAACATAGATACAGGCTGGGCACGGTGGCTCACGAATTCAAGACCAGACTGGCCAACATGGTGAAACCCTGTCTCTACTAAAAAATACAAAAATTAGCTGGGCATGGTGGCTCATGCCTGGAATCCCAGCTACTCGGGAGGCTGGTTAGGAGAATTGCTTGAACCGGGACCCAGGAGGCGGAGGTTGCAGTGAGACGAGATCGCGCCACTGCACTCCAGCCTGGGCTACACAGTGAAACTCCATCTAAAATAAATAAACAAACATACAGATTAAAAGGATGGAGAAAATACATATACCATACAGGTAAGCCGGAGTGGTGTTAAGTATCAACAGAGTAGACTTTAGGATAAGGAATATCAGGAGGGATATTACAAAATGATAGAGGGGTCCATTCCTCAAAAGAACATAACAATCCCAAATATGTATTCCCCGACAGCTGAGCTTCAACACTCACAGAACTGAAAGGAGAAACAAGCAATTCAAGTTGGAAAGGTCAACACATCTTTCTTAGTGACTGGCAAAACAAAGAGACCCCCCCACCAAAATCACCAAGAACTACTGACCAACTTGGCTTAATAGATACTTACACAATATTTCACCCAGTAACAGCAAAATATACATTATTTTCAAGTGTACTTAAAACATTCACCAACATGGACCATATTCTGGACCACCAAAACCACAAACCCCTATCCCTCTATTTAAAAAGACTGAAATAATACAAGCATGTTCTCTACAGGAGAATTAAACCAGAAATTCATAGGAGAAAAAAACACTTCTAAATAACTCGTGGGTCAAAGGAAACAATAAGGGAAATTGTAAAATATTTTGACGTGAATGAAAATCAAACAGACCAAAATTTATGGTATGCGGCTAAAGAAGTGCTTAGAGGGAAATGTGTAACTTTCAATACTTACACTGGAAAAGAAGAAAGTTTTCAAATTCACGATCTAAGCTTCTATCTTGAGAAACACACACAAAAAAGGAAACAAATTAAATGCAAAGAAAGGAGGACATAATAAATATGAATGCAGACATGAATAAAATAGAAAAACACTAGAGAATAAGCAGGAAAACTAAAAGCAATTCTCCAAAAACAAACTCATCTAGCTGAACTGATCAGGAGAAACAGAGAGGTACAAATTACTAATATCAGAAATGAAAGAAGGAACATCACAACAGATGTTACAAACCATTTAAAAGGTGGTAAAAAAATTACAAACTCATACAAACAAATTAAGACTACCTAGATGAAATGGAAAGAGACAAATTACCAATTTCAACATAAACGAAGATACATACTATAAACCCTAAATCAATTTATAGCTTAACTAGGCCAATATCTGGTAACAAAATTGAAATGGTAGCTTAAAATCCTCCCATAAAGAAAATTCTAAGCCCAGATTGCTTCACTGGTAATCCACCAACCATTTAAAGAAAGAAGTAACAATTCTACACAATCTTCCAGAAGAGGAGAGAAAACACTTCCCAACTCATTCTGTAAGGCCAGCATTACTCTGATACCAAAACCAAAGACATAAAAAAAATCACAGACCAATGTATCTCATGAATAGAGATGTGAAAATCTGTAAAATGTTAGCAAACCAAACCGTGCCACATAGAAAAAGCATAACACATTAAGACTTCAGGAATGCCAGGCTGGTTTAACATTTGAAAATCAATCAGTGTAATTCATGGTATTAATATTTAAAACCATATGATTTTCAGCAGAACTTTGAGTCAAAAACAGAAAAACAAACAACAACAACAAAACCATATGATTATTTCAATAGAGATGCTGAAAAAGCATTTGACAAAATCCAACACCCATTTGTGATAAAATCTCATGGCAAACTAAAAATAAAAGGCAATGTCTTGATCTTTACAAAGGCATCTAGAAAAAATCCAGACCACATACAGTGACGGAAGGCTCAATCCTTCCACCTAAGATCAGCATGGCTGAGATATCCACTCTTCTCACTGATAGCATCATACTGGAGGACCTCATCAGTGCAATGAGACAAGCAAAAGAAACAAAAGGCAAGAGATTAAAAAGGAGTAAGTAAAATTACCTTTATTTGCAGATTATATAATCACATATGTACAAAATGGTAAGTAACCCACACAAAAAGTTACTAGAAGTCATAAGTGAGTTTACCAAAATCAGACTGTAGGATACAAGATCAGGTCTTTAAAAATCAATTACATTTCTGGCCAGGCACAGTGGCTCACGCCTGTAATCCCCGCACTTTGGGAGGCCCAGGCAGGCAAATCCCCTGAAGTCAGGAGTTTGAGATTGGCCTGGCCAAAATAGTGAAACCTCGTCTCTACTAAAAATGCAAAAAAAAATTAGCTAGGCATAGTGGCACATGCCTGTAGTCCCAGCTACTCAGGAGGCTGAGGCAGGAGAAT